AGGCCGACCTGGCACTAACATTGCATGACTTTGTGTGCCAGATGAAAGTCTGGCTTTTCTGGAATATTTTTGAGAGGAGCTGAGGCTGTCCCTGGGTGCCAACTCCCTGTTACTGTCTGTGACGTTAACATATGAGAGTGCTGGAGGTGAAATAGTTAAACAAGTTACCCAATCAGAACCCGGGGGGTGGAGTCAAAGGGACTATAAAACCAGCTCTGGGAGGGGCGAAGGAGGAGTTCGTTGGGAGTTGGGTGATTGGTTGGAGTAGGAGTGAATTGGGATAGAGTCTGTAGGTAGGTTAAGTTAGTGTAGCGAAATAAGCTGAGTCAGGAACAGTTAGGGGCTAGGAAGATAAGTAAATATCTGAGAGGTGGTTTAGTGAGTGAGAGCAGGTAGCGGAAGTTATAGGTCTGGATAGGCACCCCATGATTGTAATTGACCAATACCGTTTATGAAACCACAAGCTTGTTAAACTGCAATAAATAAACAGAAGTTAATGTTCCAATTTAACCCTGACTGGACTCAGTATTGTACCAGGTAGGGCCTGGGTGGTGGCAGCGAGAAATAAAGTGGTGGCACAGGGCTCAATAGACGGTGAAACGTCCGGGGACCCTGTTTGATCGCCACACTGGAATGTTGGTTTAATTCAAGAATGGGAGCCCTGTGGCTCTAGAGGTACCATTGACTCCAACTCCCATCATGTAGGTGTCAATATTAGATTAACATCTTCCAAGATAATAGTGCCCACTCACATCATAAAGAGCTCATAAGCCACCTACTCTCACCAGCCAGAAGCATCATAGCCAGACACTGGAGAGACCTGTCAGGAGTAAGCATGGACCAGTGGTATCAAATAGCCTTATTAGAAACAGCCTTATTAGAAAAACTAACCAATAAACTGAAACTGACACAGGGACAAATCAACCTTTCTCACCACCAAAGGAATACAAGTGAATATCCCAGTGTCCCAAATTGGGACATTTGGACTTAAAAGGATTAAGAAACAAGATTTGAGCTCCACTTTTAAATATGGAGGTCTGGCTGGAAGAAATATGGACATTATTGGGACAGAGCTTCTCCGAGATTTGGTGTTTAATACAAAGGACTATCGAAAAAACCGGCAGAGAGGAATTAAGAGCCTCGGACGTGAGGTCTCCAGGTTGATAGCAGATAGACTGATGGACATTGGTTGGGGATCGAAACCGGGAAAGGGGGGGTGGGGTTTGGGAATCCAAGGGTGTACAATTATATTCTGATTCTTTTTATTTTGTTTTGTTATTAGTATAAAAATGGGGAATTCGTGGAAGGGAATTTGGTTCGACCTTAGAAAAAGGTTTTAAGAAGGAGTACTGACGTATAAAGACTGATGTATATAAGTTACTTATATAAGTATATAAGTTGGATACATAAAATGAATTAAATATAATAATGAACTAAATATAATAAGGTTAAAAATTAGGGACAAGAACTTGTTGAACTAACAATTGGAAATGGAATACAAGAAGGGGAGGCATGGGGAAGTCGTGGAAATAGGTTATTGAAAATAAGGATTGTAAACGTTGAGTGTTTTTAATTTTTTCTTTTTCTTTTTCTGGATTTTCTTGAAAATTTCAATAAATATTTTTTTTTTTTAAAAAGGAATACAAGTGAATAGTAAAGGGAACCCACACAAGCGATGCTGACACAAAACCCCACACATACACTAAGTAGAATAGAAGCATTGCCACCCAACCCCACCCTGACTCACCATGCCCCCCCTCCACCTCTTTCCCCCTTTTCTTCCTAATGCAGACGTGTCCAAAGTCCATTTTGGGGGCCTAATCTGGCCTGCCAGTCGGTTTAATCCAGCCTGTGGTAGTTCATTTCCCAGGGTAAAATCCTAAAAAACCCTCAAGCTCAACAACTCCAACCCTAAAAAAAGGTCAACAACTTGACCAACTTTGGTTGGTCCCCACAGCCCTTCACTTCACATCTGGCCCTCTTTGAAAAAAGTTTGGACACCACTGTCCTAATGTAACACTAATGTCTCAACAAATGAAACTGATTTGTAGAAAATGTAACTTGAAAAAAGAGACGTTGCAGATACTTTTGTAAACTAAGAAATCTTTAATAGAAATACGTTAAATACAAAACAATGCAATCCGAACCCCCTTCTCAGTCACAACCCTGCTAGTTTGGGGAAGGAACATCCAGGAGAATATCTAAGTTCTTCCTCAGTGTCAAAGAAACCAAGGAAAAATTCTACCCAAGAAAGAAACTGTCACAGAAAATAGCAACTCTTCTGGTAAAAAGCAGATAACAGATCGGGGTTTTATACATTGCTTACGATTATGCAAAGTCACTCAGTTCTCTAATGCCTCCTTAGCTCCAAGCACCTTGTTCATTTAGCTTTTGATCTGGGTTCTCCAACTGTGTCTGTCTACAGAAAACTTTCCCTTTTAGCATGGAGACCTCTTGAGCTCTCACCTCTCCCTCCTTAGTGTTATTTGCTTCCATTTCCTCAATGTGCTTCAGGAATTTGCTCAATGTAATGTTTTGGGGTCACTCAAAAGGATCTGTCTGATTGCTGTTTCCTTTTTCTCTGCCTGTTGGGACAGTGTGTTGCTCTTGCCCATACCAGTGACGTGTGATTTGAAAATCTGCCAGCTGCTACTCCCAGGCATATGGCATATGCCGTGAGAGTTCATGTCCTCCCACATTTCTCTCATGAAAACAGGGACGTCCTATTCCATTATTATTATTATTATTATTATTATTATTATTATTATTCCCAACCCATCTGACTGAGTTTCCCCAGCCAGTCTAGATGGCTTCCAACATATATAAAAACATAATAAAGGCTTCCCTGTACAGGGCTGCCTTCAGATATCTTCTAAAGGAAATATAATTGCATCTCCTGGGCTTGGGGGTTGCATAACTCTATACCAGGGGTGCCCAAACTTTTTTCAAAGAGGGCCAGATTTAATGAAATGAACATGCGTGAGGGCCGACCAAAATTGTTGAGCTTTTTGGGGGATTGAAGTTGTTGACCTTCTTTCAGAATTTTAACCCAGGAAATAAACGGCCATAGGGGCCAGATTAAACCGGCCAATGGACTGGATTAGGCCCCTGGGCCGGACTTTGGAATGCCTGCTCTATACCCTCCAAGATTTCTCCAATAAAAATAGGGACATCATAAGGGAAAGTGGGACATTCCAAGATCAAATCAGAAACCGGGACAGCTGCTGTAACAATCTGGGGCTGTCCCTAGAAAACAGGGACACTAGGAGGGTCTGTGAGTCCCCTTTGCTAATCAGTGGGGAAAATCCGTTTAATTTCCAATGTTTCAAGGCAGCCTTACCCATTACATAGCAAGCACAGAAGGACTTGTGGGAAGCTAGTTACCTTGCGATCGCGAAAGGATGATCAAACCCTTTAATTCCGATCAATTAATTCCCTTCGGAAAGCAGAATTGATAACATTCTCATTTGAGTAAATAACCAATTTAGGCTATAAACTATATAAACATATGCTGCACTTCACAAGTGATTTCCATCCATGCAGCAGATATCCTACCCTCTGCCCCCCCCCAGATCCCAGAGGGTCCTTCAATTTTAAGGATGTGCTGGAGATGGCAAGAAAGGGAATTGCTCCAAGAATGGAGCTGCAGTGTTGGATACAACCCATAGATTTATTTCACAGATTTATTTCATACATCTGTAGGGCCTTGGAGTAGGTAGCAAGTCTTCACAAAGCATATTCAACTATTTTAAAACAAACGAAAGATGCTAAAATCAATTTGAAACAATGCAATGTGGAACTCCTCTCTGAAAAAGCTGCCTTATGCCATGTTGAACTGTTCTATAGGTCAAAACTGGCACCAATAATTAAATGAATTATTCACATAATTAAATGAATAACAATGAATAACACGGTTGAACTCTGACTGTGCACGAGGTTCTTTCTTCTTTGCCAGTTGAGGATTGAGAAAGCCACACGTCACGTGTTACCGAGAAGCGTCCAAAGGCAGGCATGGTGGGAAAGCATGGGTGCTTCCACTCTCCTGCGGTGTTTGGTTGGATGCCTCTTTTATGACCAATTGATTTGTGCCATCTTCATACACCCCTGTCCACGAAGGAGAAGGAGGGTTGTGTGAAATTGCCGTGGCGCACATCGCACTGTTGACATCATTCACAGTTCCCTGCAATGAGTACAGAAGGTCCACTCACTGTCTTTGAACTGAGCTGCTGTTGTTAATAATGATGGATTCACTAGGGTTTTTCGATAGATGATAGAGAGAGAGAGAGAGAGAGAGAGAGAGATGATAGATAGATAGATAGATAGATAGATAGATAGATAGATAGATAGATGATAGATAGATGATAGATAGATAGATGATAGATAGATAGATAGATAGATAGATAGATAGATAGATAGATAGATAGATAGATAGATAGATAGATGATAGATAGATAGAGATAGATAGATAGATAGATGATAGATAGATAGATAGATAGATAGATAGATAGATAGATAGATAGATAGATAGATATAGATAGATAGATGATAGATAGATAATTATTTTATTCAGTTTTACCATTTACATTTGAATTCAAACAATAATCATAAACATAAACATATAGGATTCCCTGAAGCCTTATACTTCCCTCCACCCCTCTATGGGTTCAATTGTAAATCTTTTTCTACTGCATCATATAATTTCTCAGTTTTTTCTGGGCGAAATTACCATCTGCGTGGGATTTTTTTTTTAAAATAGGCAAAATTCCCCCCCCCCAAAAAAAAAAAAGCTCAACAACTTTTTACTTATTGAAAAATGGCAACCCTAGATTCAGTGGCATTGCCGATATGGCAAGCTGCTATCGGACTTCAGGTCTTGAACAGTTTCTTTGAGGACAGACGTGTTTTAGACTTGACTTGGAAAATCCAGCCAGCATCTTTTGTTTTCTGCACAAGCTGTTTTTATACTGCCATAATTGCATGTGGGTCTCTTATTTTTGCAGTAAACGCCGTATACCTGGGAAATCAAGAGATGAAGCAGGTTGTAGAGAGAGATAACACTGGCATCAGAAAGCATTTAAAGAAGGTAATTCTTTACTCTTCCCAGTTCTAATGAGTTGCCCATTTGCAGATACTTCACTGTCTCACTTTTCAACACCCAAATGATTCTGTTCTGATCTCAGGCCAGTTATGTATAGTTTGTCTGCATTTATTGGTTAGAAAGAGTTTGTGTCTCTGGCCTTATTCCACATAACCTATAATAAATATTTTTAAATATCACAAAATAAAAACGACAAAATAACAGAAATATCTGACAAAGTCCAGAAAGTTCAGCTAAATGTCTAAATATTTAGGTGAACTAACTAAAACAGTCAGCCACTATACTACCCATTTAAAAAAAAAAAATCTTAAGAGAGCCAGCCTAATCAGCAACACTTTATACTACTTTCTAAAGGTCTTCTAAATGCCTTCCAGCATTTCTTTGATGAAAATGGGGCCATCCTACTCCATAATAATAACAATATTAATTTTCATTATTTATACTCCGCCTATCTGACTGGGTTGCCCCAGCCACTCTGGGTGGTTTCAACATATATAAAAACATAATAAAACATTTAAAAACGTCCCTATACATGGCTGGCTTCAAATGACTTCTAAGGGTTGTATCTCCTGGGCTCAGGAGTTGCATAACTCTATATGCCCTCCCAACATTTCTCAGATTAAAAATAGGGATGTCCTAAGGAAAAGCGGGACGCGGGTGGCGCTGTGGGTTAAACCACAGAGCCTAGGGCTTGCCAATCAGAAGGTCGGTGGTTCGATTCCCCGCGACGGGGTGAGCTCCCGTTGCTCGGTCCCAGCTCCTGCCAACCTAGCAGTTCGAAAGCATGTCAAAGTGCAAGTAGATAAATAGGTACCACTCCGGCGGGAAGGTAAATGGCGTTTTCGTGTGCTGCTCTGGTTCACCAGAAGCGGCTTAGTCATGCTGGCCACATGACCCGGAAGCTGTACGCCGGCTCCCTCGGCCAATAAAGCGAGATGAGCGCCGCAATCCCAGGGTCGGTCACAACTTGACCTAATGGTCAGGGGTCCCTTTACCTTTACCTTAAGGAAAAGCGGGACACTCCGGGATCAAATTAGAATTATTTGAATAGCACATTTCTTTGGTTCTATGTTGAGATCAGCAGCCCCAATCAGAATTTGCAAGAGAACAGAATGTTGCTTTTTCATGGGGCTGATATGCTATGCATATACACTGACATTCGCCTGATACAGGCCAGTTAACAATTGTTCTACTTCATGGGTAGGCAAACTAAGGCCCGGGGGCCGGATCCGGCCCAATCGCCTTCTCTATCCGTCCTGTGGACGGTCCGGGAATCAGCGTGTTTTTACATGAGTAGAATGTGCCCTTTTATTTAAAATGCATCTCTGGGTTATTTGTGGGACATAGGAATTCATTCTTTCTTTCTTTTTTTCAAATATAATCCGGCCCCCCACAAGGTCTGAGGGACAGTGGACCGGCCCCCTGCTAAAAAGGTTTGCTGGCCCCTGTCTACTTTCTCAATGATACATTCACCTCAGAATATCTCTATGCAAGATGTGCGAGCCAGTTTGACCTTGGCGCGATTCACCTTTTGCTCATTATAGTTGTAAAATATGCTTACTTTCCTTTCTGAATTAAAGGCTATGGCAGGCAGCAAGTGTCTCGCAGGTGCTTCTGTCTATTTCCATCTGTTTTCCTTGACTACGTCAACCTGAGCAATGCTTTTGCACCTGGAGGCGTACTTTGAAAACCTGTGTTTTATTTGTTCCTGTGTCATTGCACTTTTAAAGTTGTGTGCTCTACCCAGGGAATTTTTATTTTATTTTTAATTTTTTAAATTGAGGCAAAGTTATAGAAAGCTGGCAAGACCAGGACGAAGCAATTGTGGAGTTAAATACCACCACCTCCTCCTCCTCCTCCTCCTCTTCTTCTTCTTCTTCTTCTTCTTCTTCTTCTTCTTCTTCTCTCCACCCCACACTCTCAGCTTTCCCCCCTAATTCTTCCTTCTAATAATTTCTGGGAATGTGAAAATTAGGGGAGAAATGTGAGCTGGCACAGACTTCAACCTGAAGTGTACTGACGTTAAAAGTAGGGCTTGACTAATAAAGGGTTGGAAGCCGACGAGAACAGGAACTGGAGCCCAAGTTGTGATAGAGTTGGCAAGTTGTCACTTTGAGAAATTTATGCTGCTTAGTAGTCAGTGTGATCATAAGTGTAAAGCCAATCTTAACACCTGACGGTGCCAGCTGCTGGGGAAGAGAAAAGTTATTTCTGGATCCCATTTGCATGTTGTGTGTTGAAGGAGGTGAGAGAAAAGAGACACTAAATTATTCCTGCCTTTTCAAGCCCAGTTTTACAGCATAATTAGTAGGAGTCGAGGAGGGAGTAAGAGAAAATATGGGCCTTTTCGGAGCTGGGCGTCTCAGGTGCAGCAAATGCGGACAGGTAAGGGGGCTGGAGGCATTTTAGCAGAAGTGGGTCACTAGGTTTTAAACCCTCCGCTTCAAATGCTGAACGAAAAGGAAGAGTCGCTGCCCTGTTTCTGGTGCAAAAGTAGACCATTTAAAGGCCAAGTGTTGATCCCGCCTCTCAGAGATCCCGAAACAAATCATGTGGGGCAGTGTTGGCTGTTTCACATGTTTGAGAACATTTCGTGCCCTTATTAACTGGGGGTCCTGTCCACACCATAGGCAGCAGTGCACATCCCACAAGGCATAAAAAATAACATGACAAATGAGCATTATTATCATCATCATCATTTACCTGCCCTTCACTCTAAGGTCCCAGGTTACAGCATTAAAACACTATACAGTGGTACCTCAGGTTACATACGCTTCAGGTTACATACGCTTCAGGTTACAGACTCCGCTAACCCAGAAATAGTGCTTCAGGTTAAGAACTTTGCTTCAGGATGAGAACAGAAATCGTGCTCCGGCGACGCGGCGTCAGCAGGAGGCCCCATTAGCTAAAGTGGTGCTTCAGGTTAAGAACAGTTTCAGGTTAAGAACGGACCTCCGGAACGAATTAAGTACTTAACCCGAGGTACCACTGTATTTAAAACTGATTAAAACAACTTTATTATTTTTTTGTTTGTTTAATTTGTATACCGCTTAGGTTGTTTAATTGTAAACCGCACAAAAATAAGCTGGGTCCTAAAAATGTCCTCCTCAAAGCCAGGGTGAAGAGGGCCAGCTTGCTGTGCTTCAAATGTACAAAATTGTATTTCTCTCACACACAAAAATGTGTCCGTGATGATGGCAAATGTATATGAATACACATCGTTGTGTGTACACGGTGTTAGGTGCCCCTCCAGCCGTGCGCATAGGATCCCTAACTAGTCTGCAAGAGATGTCTGCGTTTACAGGCGTCAGTTTTTACCTGGTTTGGGCAAATTCAGTGTTTTGAGTATTATTGCATCATGGTTGTGTAATGTAAAAATCCTCTCCTAGTTCAGAGTGGAATGCAGTTGGCTTCGTGCACACAGCTATAGGCTTCAGGTTTCTTCCTTTTTGGAAGAAAGCAACTTCCCCCATCACCATCTCACCACACAGAATTTGAATCATATGGTCTCCAATGTAACTCCAGAACTCATGCTGAGTAGCAGGCACTGCGGTTCATCTCTGCCGTTTCAGGTAGGTAGAACCTGCCATGGCCAGTGAGTACTGGTTTCGTATCTCACTCTATAGGCACTGCGCAGACCTTCGGCAATGGCCAGCGTGACAAGCTGCCGTTTACTTCAGGTAATTAAACTGCCGCGCGGAAAGATCCGCTACATGTCCTTGTCTGAAACTCTGGAGAGCTATTGGCAGCCCAAATGGGCGGCTCCCAACAGAATATTAAAAACACGATAAAACATCAAACTTCCCTAAACAGGGTTGCCTTCAAATGTCTTCTAAAAGTCAGATAGTTGTTTATTTCCTTGACATCTGATGGGAGGGTGTTCCACAGGGCAGGCGCCACTACCGAGAAGGCCCTCTGCCTGGTTCCCTGTAGCCTCACTTCTCGCAGTGAGGGAACTGCCAGAAGGCCCTCAGAGCTGGACCTCAGCGTCTGGGCTGGACTATGGGGGTGGAGACGTTCCTTCAGGTTTACTGGGCCGAGGCCAATGGTCTTGAGTCAAGATAAGGTAGCTTCTGACATTCCCTGTTGGAAGTGAGAAGGTAAACCCTCGTTGCATGTGTAGAAGTCCTTTACGTTCACGTTCAGCCTGGCTGTGAAACCCAAGATAATTGTTGCCGGACAGTATAGAAAATATTGAGTTATATGGAGCAATGGTCTGATAAGGCAGCTTCCTGAGTTTTCTAAGCAACTGAGGGGTTCTTCTCAATCACGAGGGCTTTCATAAATCCATTTTGCAGTGCAAAAACTTATTAGCTATTTATTTGTGTATTTCTTAAATTTATATACCGCCCTTTAAGGATCTCAGCCAAAATGCCTTTGAAGAAGCCTCTCTCTCTCTCTCTCTCTCTCTCTCTCTCTCTCTCTCTCTCTCTCTCATTTCCTTCAAATTAACGTCACTCGGTTTTTTTAAAGCACGGGCTCATTTTGTTTAAACCAGCTTGAAGAAAATTGCAAACCAAAGCAGCCAAAACCAACCTTGAGCTGGTTTTATTGAAACAGCTGGCCTGGTGTTGCCCAGTTTTCTTGACCCAGTGTCCAAAGCTGTCCATAGCAGTTTAATAGTTATTGCCCTTGAAAGGTTCACAATCTGGAAGGCAGCAGTACGGAAGACACCACAGATGCAGTCTCTCTGCCCACAGCCAGAGTAAATCACTTGCCTCCAGTTGTGGAAAATCTTTCAAATACGCCGCATGAATAGGCCTGAAATGCTCTCAGCAGCCAGGAACACCTTTTATTTTGGCAGCCCCCGTATGCTTTTTGGACTGCGTTCTGCTGAAGTTCAGAATGGAAGCTAGGAAAGCTGCACATGAGGGTTTTGTCGCGCATAGCATTTAAGCATGTGCTCTGGCACATGCGGCAGTATCCGAAATTTCTGCACCACATGCTCAAATTAGTCCTTCTGTGACATACACAAGATTTGAAAAGCAGCATTGGAACACAAGGGTAGGCAGAAATCGAGCTCTTGGGAAATGGAAGAAAGTGGCTATTGTTGAGTTACCAAAAAAAAAAAAGTTCTGTTTTTTATGTTTCTTGTAATTTCTTTTTTAATGTTGTGGTTTAAATGGGTGCGACCACCTAGGACCTTAGGCTGAAGGGCAAGTAATAAAGCAAAGTAATAATTATTCTCAGTCCTGCACTCTCTTCTTGCAGTGGCCAACCAGATTCCAACAGAATCTGAGGTTCCAAGCAGAAAGCACTGTATGTCCCAAGCTTGGAAATGTTGGGTGCAAAAAAGCCAAAAAAACAAAACCTTCTTTCCATACCACAGTTTCTATCTGAATTCCCCAGCTACATGTCATATTTTGAAAACCTCCTCCTCCTCCTCCTCCTTCTTCTCTTCTTCTTTGGCAGTCCCTCGTAGCCGAGTAAGATGGTCTTCCATAAACACGGTTTTAAAAGTGTAAGTGAATGTGAAGACCAATTCTTGTTCCACACACCCTTCCACAGTGGGGTCCTAGGTTTCCGGGTGGGAGTTGCCAAGCGTGCCTTCCTCTTAGCGTGTTTCTCCCTTTGGTCCTGAATTCAGGCATCTTCAAAACCCATGACACCTTTGGTAAAGGCTGTTGTCCAATTGGAGCACTCGCAGGCCAGTGTTTCCCAGTTGTCGGTGTTTATACTGCATTTTTTTAGATTTCCCTTGAGAGAGTCTTTGAACCTCTTTTGTTGACCACCAGCATTACGCTTTCCATTTTTAAGTTAGGAGTAGAGTAGTTGCTTTGGAAGACGATAATCAGGCATCTGCACAACATGACCAGTCCAACAAAGTTGATGTTGAAGAACCATTGCTTTAACACTGGTGATCTTTGCTTCTTCCAGTACACTGGCATTAGTTCACTTCCCAGGTGATGTGTAAAAATTTTCAGAGACACCGTTGATGGAATCTTTCAAGGAGTTGGAAACCACCCAGTAACAGGAGCCATCTAATCTAGTTGCCATGAGGCTTCATGTCTGAATCGAGGACACTTAATTCTTAGGACTATTCTTGCCGTACGTTTAAACGGTTGCTTTCTTTTTCCACCTTGGATCTGTGGCAGACAGAATTATTTTGTCAGTAACTTGCACTTTCTCAAGCTGTCATAACTGTAGTGCCAGTCAGAATGAACTGCAGGAAATCTTCATTATTTTCTTAGAAACTCTTTAATCTAAACATCCTGTTGATAGCAATCTCTGATTCCTATGGTGTTTTCACAGCATCTGCCATCATTGTGTATATCTGAATCCTCATGCCATATTTTATGGACATTGCATTTCATAACGTGACCCGACGTCAAAAAGTGGGGGAGCATTGAAATTGCGTTCTGGCAAAAAGAAGATAGATGGGAATAACTGGAATACAACAAGGTCTAAATTAAGAGCAATTTTCTGCTAGCTAATCTTTATCGATGGCACTGAGGCGTGAACTGCTGTACAGACTGAAAATATGTCTGGTTATTTTATTATTCTTATAGTGAATTATGTATCCACATGGCTGGGTTTGTAGAGCTATTTACATACTTTCAAGATTTACATAGCAATCTAAACCCAAGGTCCGTCAGGATTTGGAACAGGCAGATCTAAATTGGTCCCAGGTAAGCCAGGGCTCAGTCAGTTTAGTTTAGTTTTACTTGTTTCCTTGTTTTTAATCCTGTTCTTTATTCTGTGAACTGCCCTGGCATCTTATGATGAAGGGTGGTATATAAATCTTAATAAAGAATTAAATAAAAATAAAATAAGTCAGGACCACACTCCCACATCCTAGCTAAGATGAGGCTCAGCCAGGAGAACTTTAGCTGGTGAAATTTATGCTACTGGATAAGTTCCCAGAAAGGTGCAACATGTGTTTGCCTCCTGGTTGGGGCCTATGATGCTATAGAATTCCTAGTATGCGTGGTGCTTTCTGATCTTCCCTAGAGTTGTTGTATAGTTCACTGTTGTGTTTGTTCATTAAACAGAATCTGAGGCTAAGGCAGTCCAATGAGTCATAAAGGTAAAGGTAAAGGGACCCCTGACCATTAGGTCCAGTCATGACCGACTCTGGGGTTGCGGCGTTCATCTCGCTTTATTGGCCGAGGGAGCCGGCATACAGCTTCCGGGTCATGTGGCCAGCATGACTAAGCCGCTTCTGGCGAACCAGAGCAGCGCACAGAAACGCCGTTTACCTTCCCGCCGGAGCGGTACCTATTTATCTACTTGCACTTTGACATGCTTTCGAACTGCTAGGTTGGCAGGAGCAGGGACCAAGCAACAGGAGCTCACCCTGTTGCGGGGATTCGAACCGCCGACCTTCTGATCGGCAAGTCCTAGGCTCTGTGGTTTAACCCACAGCGCCACCCGTGTCCTTCAATGAGTCATAGAATCATAGAATTGTAGAGTTGGAAGGTCCATGAGGACCTCTACAATTACAATACAGTGGTTACGTACTTAATTCGTTCTGGAGGTCCGTTCTTAACCTGGAACTGTTCTTAACCTGGAACTGTTCTTAACCTGAAGCACCACTTTAGCTAATGGGGCCTCCCTCTGCTGCCGCGCCACGCCGCTTCTGTGCGATTTCTGTTCTCATCCTGAAGCAAAGTTCTTAACCCTATTTTTGGGTTAGCGGAGTCTGTAACCTGAAGCGTATGTAACCCGAGGTACCACTGTACAATGCAAGTGTGGTGCTCAAAAGGGAAGTGTGGCACTCAAATAGGAGCATATTCGGCTTCCAAAAAAAGTTCGCAAACCGGAACTCTTACTTCCAGGTTTGCAGTGTTTGGGTTCCAAGTTGTTTGAGAACCAATGTACCACAGTACAGGCATTGCTTGCCCAACATCGGGCTTGAACCCACAGTCCTGAGATTGAGAATCTCTTGCTCTACCAACTGAGCCATCCCAGGATTTCCATTTCCCGTCTGACACTTAGATTTATCTCTGTCTTTTCTTCTGATATATTGACTTGGTTTGTGTGAGGGCTTTGCTTCTTTTTTTCTCCTATCCTATCTCTCTTTTGTTTTTCAGCTGACTTTTTACTATGGAACTATAGACTGCTGGTGTCCCCTGCAATACTATGAAGAGATGAAGAGGGATTTCCCGGATGGAGACATCCGATTGTGCGAGAAAGGACTCAAACATGCTTTCGTCATTGGTTCCAGTGAGGAGATGGCTGAAATGGTTGCAGACTGGGTGCGAGATGATCTGGCTAGGCTGTAAACAGGGGAGTGAAGCAAGTAGCACAGGGAAGTATTTTAACTGTTTTATGGGTGTATGATTATACTTGAAAATGTTTGCTCCTCATTACGTTTCTACAGTTGCAGCTGGTTTCCTCTAAAGGATGTGCCACAAAGTTCCCGAAAGATAGTCCCATTGACCCTCTGAATCCCAAAGGAGTGGTTCTAAGTGCCTCGAATGGATTTTGTCAAATGGAAAACAATACCGTAAACAAGAGTATGCTACCGGCCTTGGCTTCTGAACACCAAACTAGCATGAGATAAATCACTGCTACCAGTTGGGAGCAGTCTCCTCTGTGAAAGGAGTGGTTGAGGTTGAGTTTCAGACATCCATATGCAATTATGTGTTGTTGTTTTCCCACAACCTCAAGAGACTTGAGTGAGAAAGTCAAGGCAGGTCAAGCATCACAAACAGAGCTTTCATATCCCCTCCAATGCAATACTGTGAATGTATGTGTTCAGGGGCAAATTACTGAGGGTGAGATGTCCATGAAGGTAGCTTCATGTGTGAATCTGCCCTAAGATCAGAATGTTAAAATACTTCAGTATGGTGTAACAAAATCCTGATAAACCCAATCACAGCACCAAGCTCTAAATTCCTTTTTATCTCACGTTTTAAAAAATTGTTCTCAAAGAATGCCAAGGAGATTGTTTTTTGTGCAAATACTTCCTTGAAACGTTTTATGTATAAAATTTTTAAAGAGGCATGGAGAAAAAAATTTAATACATGAATATCTGAAACAGTTCCGAGTACATATAAGCCACAAATTACTGGGTTGTTGTTGTTGTTGTTTTCAGTCTGCTAATTCCATTCCAAACTCTTTCCTATCAATTCCACTTTTTAAAATATTCACTTTTCAGGAGACCCAAGAAAGAAAATTAACTGGGTGAGAGAATAAGCCTTCTAAACTGCCCTTGATTCTTAAAGGCCTCTTTTCTTTCAGCATGTGAGAAAAGAAACCTGTTTCTGGACCATAATACTTGGGACTGCAGTAGGAGACTCACATGATGGGTTGAATGCTCCTCCATACAAAAATGTGGCCTTGTAAATAAAAACCTAGCCATCAGGGTTTTTTTAACCTAGTTTATTGTTTCTCCCCTTACCTGCTAGTTTTCCAAATGCAGGGGGGAATTGTTAACAAGTAGTAGTAGTAGTAGTAGTAGTAATAATAATAATAATAATAATAATAATAATAATAATAATAATATAAATAAATAAAAATGAATGAATGAGGTCTCCTGTCAGTTTCATTAACAGGTTCTTACTTGTCTGGGGAAAGCAAGCTGAAAAATTAAGAATGCTGAGTAGCTTTCTCCTGAAACCAGACTGTGGTTTTGTATACCTTCCAGATCACTTCTTCCCACTCTCAAAAAGCTGGCATTGACCATTTGGCACATGGCATTGTATATCATTGCTCATTCATTTGGGGAAGAATAATAGAATCAGTGCTTTTTTTCTGGAGGGATGCAGGGGTACGCCTATCCCTAAACATTTTCTGAATCTTTGTACTTTTGTCTATTTCCTGTATTTATTTTTCCCCATTTGAACTATAAAATGGCGATTTTCTTGAGTCAAAATGAGAGTACCCCTAAACTTTTTTTAAAAGAAAAAAAGCACTGCATAGAATCATAGATTTGTAGAGCTGGAAGGGGCCCGAGGGTCATCTAGTCCAACCCCCTGCAATGCAGGAATCTCAGCTAAAGCAACCATGACAGATGACCATCCAACCTCTGCTTAAAAACTTCCAAGGAAGGAGAGTCCATCACCTCCGGAGGGAGACCATTCCACTGTCAAAAGAGCTCTTACTGTTAGAAAGTTTTTTCTGAAGTTTAGTTGGAATCTCAACTTTTTGTATCTTAAAGCCATTGGTTTGAGTCCCCCCTCTGGAGCAGGAGAAGACAAGCTTATTCCCTCTTCCATGTGACAGCCCGTGAGATAGTTGAAGACGGCTATTATATCTCCTCTCAGTCTCCTCTTTTCCAAGCTAAACATGCGCAGCTCCTTCAACCATTCCTCATAAGGCTTGACATCTGGACCCTTGGTCATCTTAGTTGCCCTCCTCTATACTCATTGGTTTATCTCTGGAATTCATTGTGACTCTAAAAATAGACCCTAAAAATGTAGTTACCCCAATATAACAATACACACACACACACACACACACACACACACACCAAACACCTTAAAACCTTGTATTAGTATTTGCAATAGCCAAGATGCTCTTGTTAAAAATCTGAGAATGGAATTAATTTTGGACATCATAAATAGGAATTTTGAGAAAAATCATTGTTGCTTAAGACCGAATATTTTGAAATGGTTGCCAGCAGCGGCACTCAAAATGGCGGGCAGTGACATCACGAGCCCAAAATCCTGTGTGGAAGAAAGGAGAAATCTCTGTAGGCACACATAGCGATTCGACCCATGACCAGTCATCTCATGCCCCATTTCCAGCTATTGTTGTGCCACTTCACACAGTGTGAGAGGGCCCAGTGGTGTGGCACTAGTCATGTGTCGACAATACTGAGCTAAATGGTCTGACTTCATGTGCAAGCGTCAGAAAGAGGATTAAGGGGGTTCCTTGTCCCTTCGTAGCAGTGCTGGAATATTTATGATGATAACTTGCACCCGTGCTTCACGGGGACATAATGTTGGACCAGGTGATATGCTTGCTGTCTTAAATGTTCTGATTCATCTCTGTAAATATTGTTGCTTGTGAAGATAAGAAGGCTGTTGGTCTATTTCAGGAATAGGCAACCTAAGGCCCAGGGGCCGGATGCGGCCCAATCACTTTCTCAATCCAGCCTGCGGACGGTCTGGGAATCAGCGTGTTTTTACATGAGTAGAATATGTCCTTTTATTTAAAATGCATCTCTGGGTTATTTATGGGGCATAGGAATCCATTCATTTTTTTCTCCAAAATATAGTCCGGCCCCCCACAATGTCTGAGGGACAGTGGACCGGCCCACAACCGAAAAAGATTGCTGACCACTGGTCTATTTCAGCAAAATCTGTTGCTCGAAAAGAAAACCTACTAATATTTTGTTTTAATTTGATGGAGGGTTTTTTTGGAATTTAAGCGTGTTGTTCTTCAGTGTAGGAATTGACATTTACACAGCTGCGTGCATTCCTACAATATTTCTGTGTGTCAGATGTAGTCGGCAGAGAAATATTTGTGTGTTCATAGTAACAGAGTTGCCTACCTACAGCACCAGAAGAGGGAAATCCAGCCCTTAAAATGTTCCAACAATTAGTTAAAAACATCCTGCCTATGTAGATTATGATTCTGGTATATTGAAACAGGAAAATTTTGTCCTTTTGCAACATTGGCCAAGAAAGCCTTATTCAAGTGTGTGGTGGTTCTGCATTTTTGCTACAATCCCATCATCTCAGTGAACTTAACTTGGAATAATTGCAGGATTTTAGCTATAAGCCTCTACATCTAGATTTCCAACAAATTTAATCATAGGAGTACTTCTGTTTTCTTGACATGAAGCACAGTATAATGGCGTGCTTACCGCTGGTAGGCTTATTGAGATGATTCAAGTTACACGCATTGGATTGTTCATAGATTTAAGCCTGTTTTGCAAATTATACGCAAGAAATGCTAAATCTTTGGTGCATTTTTCACCCCTTGGGGCTGTCATTCATCAACAGTCCACCCTGTGTCCTATTCAGTGGGTTTTTTTCTGGGGGGACGCAGAGGGACGCATACTCCTAAACCAGGGGTCAGCAAACTTTTTCAGCAGGGGGCCAGTCCACTGCCCCTCAGACCTTGTGGGGGTCTGGACTATATTTTGAAAAAAGAAAGAAAAAAAGAACAAATTCCTATGCCCCACAATTAACCAAGATATGCATTTTAAATAAAAACACACATTCTACTCATGTAAAAACACCAAGCAGGCTCCACAAATAACCCAGAGATGCAATTTTTTTAAAAGGACACATTCTACTCATGTAAAAACACGCTGTTTCCCGGACCGTCCGCAGGCTGGATTGAGAAGGTGATTGGGCCGGATCCGGCCCCCGGGCCTTAGTTTGCCTACCCATGCCCTAAACATTTTGTGAAGCTTTGTGCTTTTGTCCAATTACTGTTTTTATTTTTCCTGATTTGAACTATAAAATGGTGATTTTCTTGAGTCAAAATGAGAGTACCCCAAACATTTTTTTAGAAAAATAAGCACCGGTCCTATTTATTAGTTTATTTTGAAGGCAATTTTTGTTATTATGGAAATGGTTTAATAGTGGTTTTGAAAGAACACGTAGTGCCCGGTGGGGGCTTCAGACATTAACTCTCCTAGCCCACTCACTTCCCTGCAAATTCTGAGATTTCGGAGAAACCGATGAGATATCTCCTCTAGGTGACCAAGAAGCCATGTGATATGATGATGGAAGCTGGTATGGAAAGGGACCAGACCAATTTATGGAGGAATTTCTAAATCTCTACATCCAGAGGGAGTTTCCCAAGCATGGTTTAGACCACAGCTCCATCCGCATCCCTAATGCAGAATATATGGAGCAAAAGGTAAAGGGATGTGGGTGGCGCTGTGGTCTAAACCACTGAGCCTCCTGGGCTTGCCGATCAGAAGGTCGGCGGTTCAATTCCCCGTGATGGAGTGAGCGCCTGTTGCTCTTTCCCAGCTCCTGCCAACCTAGCAGTTTGAAAGCACCCCAGTGCAAGTAAATAAATAGGTACTTCTGCGGCGGGAAGGTAAACTGCATTTCCGTGCACTCTGGCTTCTGTCATGGGTCCCGTTGTGCCAGAAGCAGTTTAGTCATACTGGCCACATGACCCGGAAAGCTGTCTGTGGACAAACGCCAGCTTCCTCGGCCTGAAAGTGAGATGAGCGCCGCAACCCCAGTCACCTTTGACTGGACTTAAACGTCCAGGGGTCCTTAACCTTTACCTTTACCTATATGTGTAAGTGGAATGCTGGAGAGAAAATGCCATTGTATTTGCTTTAAGGAAATAATAATAATAATAATAATAATAATAATAATAATAATAATAATTAAATAATAAATAAATAATATATAATAAATATAATATAATATAATAATAATAAAATATAATGGTTGGTGTTCAGTAGTAGCCTTATAATAAGACATGAGAAATATCTAAGTTTGTCTGTTGGTTTCATGATTCGAGGGATGGGTTTCTCCATGTTGTATTTTGTACCAAAGTGCTTGCAAATACTCTTTCATGTTACTGTGAAGACTTAATAAATATTAACAGTTAAAATCAATAACTAATAAAAATGTTGCATAATTATAGAATGGCGGAGGTTCCTGGTTTTTTGTGCTTTTGTGTTTTTTTTCATTCTGACTGGTGCATTCTAAAAAAGCCATCTGCAAAGTTATTCAGAATTGAAATGGTCACACCCTGAACATGCCTAATCTCAAAAAATAAACAGGCTCAGGCCAAGCCTGACTTGGGTGGGATGAAGGAAATCCCCATCAGACATCTTAATCTTAGGTAGGAAACTAAAAATAGTTTGCTGGATCATTGAATTGTTGAGTTGGAAGAGACCCTGAGGATCATCTGTCCCACACAGGGATCGAACCTGCAACCTTAGCATCATCAGCACCATGCTGTAACCAACTGAGCTATCTTAGCATTTTCTGAAGTTCATTTGAAAAGTGCCCTTTGTTCATGCCATATCCTCTTCTGGTAAATGGTCTCCTGGGCTTTTATATTGCTTCAGAAACCTGTTTCAGCACAGGAGACTGTGGGATAAAAGTAGTTTGTGAATACACCTTGACCATCAATCAAAGCACCTTCAGTGGTTTTAAAACAAGCATTGCTCAATCCACTTTCCTTCCAGTATGTCAGTGATGAGGAAGCTGTGGTCCTCCAGGTGCTTTTTTTGGACTACAAATCCCATCAGCCTCAGACAACCTGGCCAATGGACTGGGATTATGGGAGTGGTAGTCCAGCAATGCCTGGAAGGTACTGGAGAAGTGGAGCAAACATAAAGTGCCACCACTTATTTCACAGAAGGGAGGACTGTATAATCCTATCATATACCATCCATTCCATAGATTAGCTCTCTTGTTAGAATGGATCTTATTCTTTGTCCTTCCCTCCAAGCACATTTAGGAGACAGTCTCTTCAGACTTTACACCTGCTCTAGTTTCATGTCTAAACTCCTGGATGTTCCATCATGACCAGTGCTATTTTTCTAGAAAAAGAGGTGCTTTGTTCTCTTATAATGGCAATGGCTCTCACCTGAGAGTTGCCAGAACTGAGTTCTGGCAAATTCCGGCTGGGGGAAAAAGCCCTGAGCATGACAGATACAAGTACCAATAATTCACAGCTAAACTGAGTGATGCTTTGGGGGTCCTTTATGTGTAATATGATTTAAAAAACAAAAAAGTGTCCTGTCTCGCAAAGTTGTTGGAAGCCCAACCAGCACCACACACACACAAAAGAATGTAAAGTAGTTTGCACATGAAAAGTGCAGTAAACATGGATAAATATTAAGAGGATTCTATTGGGAAAACTTA